TCTGGGGATACAATTTCGCGCTCAAGGATTAGTGCAACTAGCTAACCAATCAGTACAGATTTGGATAGTGTCCAGTGTCGATATTAAACCCAAAATAGTTAATTTGATCATATGAATCTATAATTTAAAATTCAAAATTAACATCAGTAAGTTCAGAACCATGGGTCTTAACCACAAAAACCATCACACACACACACACACACACACACACACACACACACACACACACACACACACACACACACACACACACGCACACACACACACACACACACACACACGTGTGTGTGTTTGTGCCTGCAAGTACATAAAATTGATGTACAAGGAGACAATATAATTACAGCTCAAACCTGATAAAAATGCAATGCATTCATACTTAAAAATATGTATCACCAAATTTTAATACCAAATATTGGATTTTCTATTAAAAAAATCAGAGGAAATAGATATTATACCTAAACGAAATTTAAAGGGTGATTTTCCAATGTTTGAGTCAAAAATTTTGCCATTCTTCTTCAGCTTGCCAATGTAACGGACACCAACCTGCATGTATGGAAAAACTCAGAATTTTGTTTGACATCAAGCAATTTATATTCCCAATAATATTCATAAGGTAAAAACAGTGCACACGTTCTCGGAGCAAACTGGTTTTCTTATTAAAAAAAAAGTTATAGTAATATCACCTTCTTCCCTTGAGAAGCTCTTTTGCCATCTGGTTTACCCATTGCCAATTCCTCTATCATCAAACCATTTGGAAATGTCCTTACTTGCAATGATTTAGCTTCTTCCTTCTCTTGTTTCTCCGTAATAGATCCTTTTTCACCTGTTTGTTTGTCCTCTGTATTTGGAGTTGGCGCATCTACCTCCTGTTTATTCTTTTTCTTATTTTTCTTATTTTTCTTCCTGTAATCATTATGATAACAGATGCATCAGTATCAAAGTCAACATTCTATGAATGCATCAGATACCATAGAAATACTGATAAAAGACAACGTTCTATAATGCATCCCAATTTGTTGTAAGAAGATAATAAATCCAATAAAAACAAAAGATACGTTACTTTTAACAAACAGGGGATGCAGTGAGAGGAAATTTAGATAAGTGAGCTACTAGAGGTGAATTGATAATGTATGCATTACAAAGAATCATCTAGTGTTTATTCTGACTAAATGAAATTGACTAGGAACGATAACAAATGTAGAAAAAGCAAATCTCACTTTTCAGAAGATGGCTTCTGATCATTTCCAATTTCCGCTACTGAAGACTCTTGTTTACCATCGGAATTTGGCGTGACATTATCCTGAGCACTTGCTAATTTCTCAGATATCTTTTTCTTCTTATTCTTCTTTTGTTTAACTTCATTGTCAGAAATTACAGCATCAGGTTGGACTGAAGTAGCACCGGGTTTCAGATTTTCCCTGCACACGTGGTAGCAAAATGAAAGTATATTTAAAGCATAAACCATATTTCTGGCCAAAATTACAAGGCATCACGACAATACTTATATTCTAAACCAGTTGAATATTAAAATTCAGATAAATAAATATCAAAATTGGTCTACCTTGCGGGTTCATCATCTTGTTCGGCAGCATCAATCTTTCTTTTCAATTTTTTTCCACGGGCAGCATCTTCCTTTGCATTATTTTTCTGGGTTTTTTCACCAATTTTCCCACCTGCGGTCTCCTCTAATTCTGCAACAGGTTTTGAAATATCAGACTTTTTTTCCCGTTCGGATATGGGAAAGCCATCTTCATCTTCACTTTCAAAGATGGGAACACCCGATCCACCCTTCACAACAATCTGACGGTTGGAGTTCTCATTGTTATCAGCAATGCTTGACTGGTTTTTCTTCTTTTTTGCTCGTTTAGACAGGCCATTATCAGGTTTATCTTCATCATCTATTTCTTCAATTTTCACTATCAAGAATCAAGAAATAAAAGTTAACCAGAATTTAAGAAAATACTAAAATGATCCTCACAGTTCTTCCAGAAAAATATTGTCGAGTGTTACAAAGAATTTGAAGAGATGTTTCAACTTTTTGGTCCCTCCCCCAACCAAATTAAAATGGGTTCAGCAAACCAAATAATCAGTCCAAGATAACTTAAATTGCGTAATATAATCCAGAGTTTTTGAACAAGAACTAGATTAAGGTAAACATTAAATTAAGAAAATACCTCCACTGTTCGGAACAGGCGACGCAGGATACATGCCAAATTCCTCATCAATAAACTCATCACCCTCATCTTCATCGTCCTCTTCATCTTCGGAATCATAACTAATCTCATCTTCTGAATCAGTCGCCATCACATCGTCCCCATAAGGATCTCTTCAAATTGGAGTAAAGGGAAACAGCAACATTGAGACATAAAGAAGTAATTGCACATTCCCATTTTATCTCAATAGCACTATCATATTATGTTATGAAGAAACTGGACAAAAACTAAATAATACACACACACACACAGAGAGAGAGAGAGAGAGAGAGAGAGAGAGAGAGAGAGAGAGTGCCAGTTAATTTAATCGCAATTGGAATAAGATAGAATGAATGAGTGTGCCGTTTAATTAAGCCACAATGGTAAAAAGGATACGACCCATAATCATCTCCGAAGTTATCCTCGTCCTCGTTATCGCCATAGAAGAAGCCCGAGAGATGCACGCTGTGAGAGCCAATAATTGAGAAAGTAACCTCGTCGTCTTCCTCAAACTCAAGGTTCAATGCACAAGTCTCAAGTTTTTCAGGCAACAACGAACACATGTAAATAGGCTTCTTATCTCCCACTTCACACTGTACTATGCTCCTCTTAGTTGAGGAACCAGTACCCAAAGTAGCCTAAAAACCAATTAAATCAAAATCAAAATCAAAATCATAACCACAGCTTCAAACAGAATAATCATTACATGAAAATTTCCATTAATTTAAATAAACAGAATTTTGTGGTAGTTTTCCTCTACGCAGCCAAAATTATATATTTAAATATAAACAAATTCTGAAAGACAAATAAATAAGTTGAAGTTTCATCCTCGGACAGACCTGGGAAACATGAAGCCTTCCTCTCTCATCATCGGACCGATGAATGTACGGTTTGCCTGGTTTTACTTCAATTCCTGGTAAGAAATTCAAATTTCAGAAAACGAAAAATAGACCGTTAAAGCATGAATCTGCGTATAAAAAAGAGTTCTCATAAAATTAAAAAAACGAAAACGCAAAGTGAAGAAATAATAGTCGAGATAGTCAAATTACCCCAGAAAGCCATTGCTGGTGAAGGTGTTTCTCTAAAACCCGAGAAGAAGGCGAAACGGTGGGTTCTTGTGGTATTAAACCCTAATACCGATTGGAAATTGTTAGGTGTAAATTATAATATCAAGGCCAACGACGTCGTTTATGCCACGTTGGACGATATAATTTTATTAGAAGCAAAAAAACAAAAACAAAAAAAGAAAAGAAAAAGGAACAAAGAGAAGAAGAAGAAGGTGGTAAATAAATTGCCCTCAGAAAGAAATCCAAAAGGTAAATCGTCTATTATTCGAACTTCCCTAATTTCCAATTTTAATGGGTCGCAGCCCAACCTATTCTCAAAGTCCAGCCCATTATATACTGAAATGATTTACGCGGCAGCAAAATTACGAATGTCGTTCACAATAGTCTTATCTTTCTCTCTCTAAAAATCCTCAAATCTACCCAAACCCCAAAATCCCCAAAACCCCCAAAATTCACAAAAATCTTCAACCTCTCTCACAAATCATCCCAAATCTAAAAATCTCGTCAATTTGAATCGTAATTAATCATCTAAAGTAGTTATATATATTGAATTTGTGGTTAATCATGTGAAAATCCCATGAAAATCGCGATTTTTTGCTGTTTTTAGTGTTGGGTTTTCGAATTTTCCACGCCCAAAATGGGCGTGGGAAAGCAGTTTCCACGCCTAAACCAGACGTGGAAACTGCTTTCCCACACCCATTTTGGGCGTGGAAAATTACTTCGGGCGTTCGGTCCAGACGCCGGTTCTGGACCGGTCGTCCGGTTCATTTTTTTTTTTGGCCCAGTATAACGGAATTGAATGAATCTACTTAAATAAGTAGCAGTTGACAAACTCGCTGTAGCCTAGTTGGTCAGGCGTTTTGTCTATTTCCCAATAGACCCGTGTTCGAGTCATGGTAGCAGCGTGTATTTGTTTATTTTTTTCCCCAGTATAATGAAATGGCTAATTGTTGTTAAATAAGAATTTATAACTAAATTTACTGTTGCCTAGATGGTTAGGTAAGTTAGAATTTTAACAGAAGGGGCTCGTGTTCGAGTCCCTATAGCAGCACAAATATATGGTTTTTTTATTTTTTATTTTATTTAAACTCATTCAGCACGCGCGCCCAAACCGGGCGCCGGAAGTGCTTTTCCGCGCCCAAACCGGGCGTGAATCGAGTTTTTTGCGCCTAGTTTGGGCGTGAAACATATTTTTCGGCGTCTAAATTGGTCGTGGGTCGCGTTTTCACGATTTAAAGAACAAAAACGAACAAATTTTACCTCATTGGATTCCGTATCTCGATCCTCATTCGATGCACTCATTTTTTTTGCAAATGACTACAATAACATGAGTTTTGGAATGATTTCTAATATAAAAGCTAAAATTGTAGAGAGAGAAAGAAAGATAGAGAGTGGATTTTTTAAAACGACATTCGTAATTTTGCTACCGCGAATATCACCTCCCCATTATATATCCTAATTCTTAACGAAAAGCAATATTTGGATTATTTAAAAATATTAATTTAATAAGAGGGGTATATTGGTCATTTTATTGAGGAACCGGTACAAGCCAGCTATTTTTTCTCTCACATGTTACAATACTTTTTCTTCACTTTCACATCACCTCCACCATTAAAACCAGTCATGTAGCTTCAGAGAGAAAACTGAGATTTTTCTTTTTTTTTGCTTCTACATTTTTGCTCGTCTTCTCTATCTTTCGTCATTCAAGAAATATTACCTTCACCGGGTATATTTTTTTATATATCTTTCGAGAACAAAAGATATTCTATTCTCTCTCGAATTTCAAATTATTTCTACCATTTTTTTATTCCAAATTAATCAAAAACAAATGTTGTTCGTTTTAGAATGAAATAAGAGAATTTATGTGCGATGCATTTTTAACTGAGCATATATATACGTGAATACATGGTTAAATTAGATTTTCAAACCGTGGCATTTTTTCATTTCAAAAATTATATTTCTCCTAGCGAAAGTATATATATATAACCATCACTGGATGTATATATAGATCCGTATATGTCATGTTTTAGATAGTACATCTTCATCATTTTCCTTTGATTTTTTTTTTCAGCCTCTTGGGCTTACCCTAGTTTTGGATCTCTCGGGTTAAGTCAAACCTCAGTCATAAGGTTACACATTTGATGATGCTAAAATATTAGCTCACCTAGGGTGGTGTAGAAAATGAGCTGGGAGAGCAAAGCAGATCAGTAGCTTGACAACTTGATGATCCTGAGGTACCTGCGATCATAGAACACATGAACTAAGCCGGGGGTTGATCCGGCGGAAACCCCTCCGACGCTCAAGTCAGACGTGCTGATCATAGAAAATAGTCCAGAGAATACAGTTGTAGTATTGCTCAGGTAATAGGACGTACCTTAATAAAATGAGTAAAACCTCTATTTATATGTCGTTTATTGGGTTGGGTTTGCTTTGTTGGGCTCAAGCCTTACTTAAAGGTGTTTGGGCCTCGGTGATATTAGTCTTCGATATTGGGCTCGTAGCCCATTAGGTAAAGAAATTGTAGGCCCATTGGGTTGGCCCAATTAGGCATATCATTAAGCCCCCCACTCTCGAGTCGATGTGGGGGCCATGTTGTAATGGGTCTCAAATCGTGTCGAGAGTAAAAATTGTAGAAGTCGATCGTTGGCGCATGGCCTAATGGTATGCGAAAACGCGTTGGAGCGTGTGTCGGAGGGGCGTGAATGCGCGTTGGCGCATAGCGCGACAAGGTCGTCGCGATGTAAGTTAATTGAGTCGTCGGTTTTGTCCCGCGACGATGTAGTAGCGAATTATCTCCTCGTGGGAGTTGTCTCGTCGCGGGGTAATAGTGTTGATCGAGTTATCTCCTCGTGGGAGTTGTCTCGCGATAATGTAGTAGCACGGATCAAGTAATCTCCTCGTGGGAGTTGTCTATGGGGTATTAGAGTTGATCGAGTTATGTCCTCGTGGAAGTTGTCTCACGATAATGTAGTAGCACGGAGCTAGTATTCTCCACGTGGGAGTTGTTATTTTTCGACATTGTCGATGTTTTGACGCGTTGCTTATATGTGTTTACATATAGCCTTGTGCGTGATGTACTTGAGGAGGGGATCAGACTCTCAAGATTTTTTTATGGGGGTCGTGCCCCTTGTTAGACCTCGTGGGTCTTAAGTATGTTTGGACCGTGGCCACGTTTTAATGAGGGACCCGTCGAAAACAAGTAGATAAATTTGAGTAATCAAGCTGGCCAGGCTATATAGATTCTCATAATATTTCTAAGTGTTTCTAGGGTTGTAATCGTGCTAACTTGAGCTTGCGATTACATAGTGAGTTTCGGGCGAGTTGTCTCCTCATGGGAGTTGTCTCGCAGCGAAGTTGTAGAATCATTGGATGACGCACGACTGACGAGTGTGCGGATTGATGTCGCTCTGAGCGATTTCTCTCCTCGTGGGAGTTGTCTCGCATCGAGTCTTATTATCGAGTGAGGTGGTTGCACGTGGGAGTTGCCTTGCAACGGATTTGTAGTGTCGAGCGAGTTGGCTCCTCGTGGGAGTTATTTCGCTGAGGGTTCGTAGTACCGAGTGAGTTGGCTCCTCGTGGGAGTTGTCTCGCTGCGGGTTCGTAGTACCGAGCGAGTTGGCTCCTTGTGGGAGTTGTCTCGCTGCGGGTTGTAGGACGGAGCGAGTTATCTCCTCGTGAGAGTTGTCTCGCAACGAGTGTGTAGGGCCGAGCGAGTTTGTTCCTCGTGGGAGTTATCTCGCTATGGCGTTGAGACCCGAGGGAGTTGGCTACTCGTGGGAGTTGCCTCGCGACGGGTTATAGGACAGAGCGAGTATTCTCCTCGTGGGAGTTAACTCGCTATGGTTTCGTAGACCCGAGGGAGTTGGCTCCTCGTGGGAGTTGTCTCGCTGCAGGTGGTAGTACTGAGCGAGTTGGCTCCTTGTGGAAGTTGTCTCGCAAGCCCCCCACTCTCGAGACGATGTGGGAGCCAAGTCGAAAGGGGTACCGGATCGTATTGAGAGTAGATCTATGCTGTAGTCTTGCGTTAATCGTTGGCATGGCGTGGAGAAATATTTTTTTTTATTTATCCGTTCGATAGCGAGCGCGATTTGGTAGGCGCGTTGAAGAGTTCGCGCGATTTGGTGGAGCGCGTTGAAATTCTCGCGCGATTTGGTGAAGCGAGGTGAAATCTACGCGCAATTTGGTGGAGAGTACCAAAAGTTGTGCCCAATTAGGTGTGAGCGCGCGCTCCAAGGTGGCCTTGGGAGGCGCGCGCGCGTGCATAGGAGGGCGCGCGCGTGTGATTTTTTTTTATTTATTTTTTTTTTTTTCAGCTGACGCTCGTGCAGTGCACGCGCGCGCGTCTGACGCGTGTACGCCACGCGCGCGTGCTGTGCACGCGCGCCTCCATGTCTTTTTTTTTTTTTTTTTGCTGAGGTGGCGCGCGGCTCGGCTCGGCTCGGCTCTCACGCGCGTGCGGCTCGGCTCGGGCGCGGCTTGGCTTGGCTGCCCCTTTTTTTTTTTTTTTTTTTTTTTTTTTGTGAGGTGGCGCGCGGCTCGGCTCTCTCGCGCGCGCGGTTCCGTTCTCTCGCGCGCGCGCGGCTTGGCTCGGCTCGCGCGCGCGGCTCGGGTGGCTCCCTCCTTTTTTCTTTTTTCTTTTTTCTTTCTTCTTCTAATTCTTCTTCTATTACTCTCTTTTTTCTTCGTCTTGTTCTTGTATTTTTTCATCTTCTTTTTTCTTCTCTTTTTTCTTCTTCTTATTTTTTCATCTTCTTCTTTTTTTCTTTTAAATTTCTTCTTTTTTCTTTTCTTCTTCTCATTTTCTTCTTTTTCATGGGTTTCGCGTGCGCGATTTTACCTCCATTTTTTCTTTTTTTTTTTGGTGGTTGATGTTCACCCTTTGGATGTTCTATTTTTTGAGCAGGGAGATTATCCTCGTTCTTTGAGATGGGATGTGCACCCCCTTGGGGATGTTCTATTTTTTGAGTAGGGAGATTATCCTCGTTCCTTGAGATGGGATGTGCACCCCCTTGGGGATGTTCTATTTTTTTTTTAGGGAGATTATCCTCGTTCCTTGAGGTGGGATGTGAATCCACTTAGGATGA